GCCACTGATCTGTAAACTAACGAATTGGTCGAAATTGCCAAATTTCCTTTTCTGGCTCAGCGTCGCGGCCTGAATCGCGATACATCTCATCACACGCAGGGCCAATGAATGGCTCCTGTGCCCTTCTCTGACCCTTTACAGCCTCTCACAAAACCTGCACTTGGTTTCAGCTGCAGTTGTTTTGTTGTTTCAGACCGTTCTCCACCCTCTGTGTGTGAAATATCCCCCTTCCACCAAGTACAGAAGATGTTTTCTAACTGAACTCATCAAAAAGGTAACGTGTACTTTTCCTCTTGCTTGCGACCCCTTTTCCTTAAAACATGCCAGTTTTACGGGCCAAGCTGAAGGGCATTAACAAAAACCAGCACTCGCTGTAAAATATTACGGCCAGCAACGTATCAAAACAGTACCAAATGTGCGTAGGTTTTCTGTTTCGTGACAATTTGATTCCGTAAACTGCCCTGCTCTCTCTGGTGCAGCATGAGTCCACAGCAGCTGAACCCCTGGATGAACTGTACGATGCACTGGTAGATACTCTGAACGAAGAAGAATCTACGCGTTGTTACAAACACTACTTCCTGGTATGAACTAACGCTGCATTGTTATAAATCACTTTTAATTACCTGAACTGAGCAATTGCTGGCTTTAAAAGTAACCCCCAGGAATGCAGAGTGCTTCCTACCTTTTCCCAGGCACCAATATTGCTCATAAACTGTAAAATCCGTTGTCTGCGCTGATCCCTCTTTCTTTTCTCACGCGTGTCCTCCAGCTCACGGGAGAATCTGTTACCCTTTCCGAGAGCGTGGCAATTATCTCTGGAGGAACGACGGGGCTCGTCACATGGGATGCTGCTCTTCATCTCGCTGAGTGGGCAATTGAGAACTCCGCAGTCTTCAGAGACAGGTAATGGAAAGCTGGGGGAAGAGGACGAGCGATTTTTGTTTGCATCCTGGGTGAGCTATGTGGTTTTAATCTAATAACATACAGCATCTATCCCCTAAATTACTGAAATGACTGCACCCTTTTGCTGCTGGCTCACTGTTGCTCCTTTCCTGCAACAGTCAAACTTTAACCGAGGAGAGGACCTCATGGTTGCTTTAAGCGAAGTTCTAAGATCAAACCCACGACCCCGTGCACTCAGACGTGCTCCGTAAAGTAGGCCCTTACATTTCAGTAACTTCAACCACTGCGCTTCTGTGCTGGATTCAGCCAGGAAAGAGTTAACTCTCTTCACCGTGGCTGCTAGGAAGCTGTTCCTGGATGCAGGGAGCAGCACTGATAAGTTCTTAGCTGGCGCTGGGCAATGCCTGCACCAGTTTCAAGGTCTTTCTCCGCTTCTGACCCTGCAGCTGCGTTCCCAGCTCTCGCGGTCTCGCTACAGGCCCTGCTGGGACACAGAGCACAGACACCTGACCCAAACTGACCAAGGGCGTATTTTCATTCCATAGTACATCAAAGCAAGGAGAGGGTCCGGTCGCCATTACCCTCTCTCCCTTACTCTCTTGTTTGCTCCCGTACACTTGCTGACACTCTCCCGACTCCTGCGTTAGCTGCTTTGCTAACTCCTGTGCTGGCTCATTAGTGAGGGAGTTGGTGGGTTTGTTTAGTTTTCCCGGGCGTGCTATTGCTGACAGGGTTCGCTTGGAATCTGCCGCGGCAGCGCTTGGGCTCCAGCCCTCGGG